TGAATTTCGATTCAATACAACAGTAGATAGTTTAGTACATAAAACTATATATTAAAAACAACTGGGAATACCATCCAGTACAACAGTAGATATTTTTAATACATAAAAATATAGATTGAAAACCATGGGAATACCATCCTGTACTAGACATAAGGTAGTTTTTAATACACAAAAACTATAGATTGAAAGCCATGGGATTACCATCCCGTACTAGATATAAAACCATGGGAATACCATCCCGTACTAGACATAAAAACCATGAGAATACCATCCTGTACTAGATATAAAGACTATGGGAATACCATCCCATACTAGATATAAGGTAGTTTTTAATACACGAAAACTATAGATTGAAAGCCATGAGATTACCATCTCGTACTAGATTTAAATTCTATAGATCAAAGATAGATATGAAAATCAGTGAATAAACTTATATTAATACGTATTGTGAGTTGGGTAACCATGCTAATATGACCATGAGACCTCCTTGACGTTCTTCAGGCGTCGGACGATATACAGAATTTGTCACCCTAGGCGTGCCCGCCTAACTGTAGCTAGTAGTTTAGGTGTGGGATTGTCAGTCCCGAATAGATCTATTCACAAATTCCACGCTCTCCCTCCAGGAGACTTTGGTTACACTTCCGGGGAGGATTTACTGATAACCCAAAGGGTTTAATGAAGATGAATCTCACAACCTAGTATTAAATTATTCACAGTGTTCCCGGTTGTTATCAAACATACTAATCGTTTTGAAACATAATACAGTAATAGCAGTTTAATACAATGAAATTATCTGGCATAATACTCTAAATTACACAGAGATAAACTGAATCAGACATAGTTTATCTATTAACTTTACATAAATATGTGCTCGTAAAACAAGAACTGAAGATCCCAAATTATTCCCATAATAATTTGACTGTTTTGATTATTTCCTTTACTGTAATTGAAAATCATGTATTTATATTCAATAAAACATCCCTTATGCTCCGCATAATACATAAGTGGTAACGATATCTAAAAGTTAGCAAGATATTTATACAAATACATCAGTTTTAGGTTTTGAAAACATTTATAGTTTGCTTGTATTCCCCTTGAAAACATTGAAAAACACAGAAAAAGGCGTAGGGGTATGAACTCACCAGTCGAGAAACGAGTCGGTTTGGATGCTAAGTGTCGGATCGAGGCTTGATAATGCGCGAGGTTCCTATGTAATATGAAAGGAAACATAAGTGTATATAATTAGACTTTGAATCACTAATTAGATAGGAGTAAACACTTCTAGATGCGAAAACACTTCAATTCAAGTGTTTGGAGTGACCCAGGTAGCATCTATGAATGTGTAAGGCTTGAATATGGAGTTTACTCTTCAAGAGTAAACTCCTTTAGGAGTTTACGGTCCAAATGACCATTCCCCATGAGTTTACAGCTGTAAACTCATGGTAGGGGTGTTCTTGGTTGCTAAATGGCCTTATAACACTTAAGGGTTGATGCTAGACTTGGTTTCAAGGCTTTTGAATGAGATTTGAACATCTTAAGGACTATTTGAGGAGTTTACGGCAGTAAACTATGAGTTTACGGTCGTAAACTCTTGTGTGCCGTGTTTTAAAGTGTTTTGGTTGTCCTAGGTCAATTACAATGCATATAGGAAGGTTCTACGGTTGATTCCATGTCTTAGGAAGTGATTGGGACATGAATTGACCTTGTAAAAGTAGTTTATGGTCTATGAAGATGTTCTTGGGAGTTTACTACCTTAAACACATGAGTTTACAACTGTAAACTCATGTTTTTCCATGATTCATGGGTTTTAGTGGTTGTAGGTTAAGCATACAAAGTTCTAGGTCCAATTCCAAGCCATACAAGGTGTTTAAGGCACTTTAACACCCATTGGAGGAGTTTCAGGTCTAAGAAGGGGTGTTTACGGTCCAAGAATGTTCTTGGGACGTAAAATCAAGTTTTTCCCATTTGTATATGCTTTGGTGCATTTCTTGAAGGATTATAAGGTTCTATGCACTCATGGATGTTCATGGAGGCTTTTGGAGGTGTTTAAGGGCAATTTAACACCTTAAAAAGGTGTTTATGGTCCATGAATGAGGGTTTACGGTCCAAGCATGTTCTTGGGCCGTAAAATCATGTCCAAGCCTCAAATGATAAGATTTTGGGGTCCTAAGCTCATGCATGCAAGTCCAAAGGTCTTAACTAAGCACTAGAAGTGATTTGGAAGGGTTTTGGGGCTCTAAAACCCCATTTATAGGTGTTGACAGTTTGGGGAGGTTCGTAGACCGTAAACACAAGTCCTTGGTCCTATTTTATGATTTAAACACGAATTTGATGGCTAAAGATGCTAATCGATGAGTTACGATAGTTACCTTAATGATTTGAAGCTTGAATTGGATGATTTTGGATCAAAGTCGAGTTTTAGAGAGAGAGTAGTGAGAGAAAGTGTTTTAAGAGAGAGAAAAAGCTTCAAAATGATGTCACTCAATCCCTTATATAGGGGTTGAGTTTATGGACCGATGGAAATATACCCGATACTGACGTTAAACGGGGCTTTTGGTCGTACCTGATTAAGCTACCGTAACCCGATATGGTCGAAACTAAAATTTTTCTAATTGCTAATTTGGAATATTTTCTTGAGTTATTAACTTGTTTGAATACCTATTAAGTCGTAATAAACGACTCCAATTTAATGAATTAATTTAATAACGAAACGGAAACAATTCGAAAACGACGAATTTTAGTGACGGAACGGGTTACAATGACGGAAAGAATTTCGGGTTGTCACATTATCCCTCCGTTAGAGGGAATTTCATCCCGAAATTTAAAACTTAAGATACAAATCATATAATCGAAAAGATGCGGATATTTGTCTTATCAAGTCTTCGTGCTCCCAAGTGAACTCGAGTTCTCGCACGGTATTCCAACGAACTTTCACTTATCGAGATACAGCTTTATTTCGTACATTTGATTTTGGTTGGTTCTTCCATGAAGTTCTGACTTTTGTTGATCTCGGTCTCATAAAAAGAGATTACTAGGGTTTCACCAGTTAGGTGCTTCCTAAGATTGGAGACGTAGAGTACAGGATGGATGCAACTTAGTCCTAAAGGTAGTTGGAGTTTTATGAGCTACAGGACTAATCCTGGCCATGATCTCGATAAGTTTTATATATCTCGGGTTAAGTTTTCCGTGCTTCCAAAGCGTATAATGTCTTTCAAGAGCGATACCTTCAATAGGACACGGTCTCCAACCTGAAATTCTAAGGGTTTTCGTAGTTTATCGGCATACACTTCTGTCTGTCTAGTGAAGCTTCTCAGTCGATCTCGGATCTGGATGATTTTCTTGGTGTTTTCACAGGTGATTTTAAGTACCATAAAAGGCACTGTCAGGTAAATGGTCTCTTCAATTATAATTTAGTGCCCATTACTATTAGCACTTCATTGGGAGATTATGGTTTTGCCTCATGAAAAGCCTTTTCAAATGCATGGGAAAATAAAACATCATAAAAGATCTCACTCAAGATGTTGTCATTAAAACCCATGAAATAGCATATACGACTTCTTTTATGAAGTAAGTAGCCCATAAACTTTGACGATTACATGAGACCGATCTTGACAAAGGGAAGGGAATAATCGTGTCATGGGGAGTGATGCCATAACTTGTGATCAATAAACCAAGCGTAATAAATCTTTGGTTGAAGACCTTAATTTAATGTAAATGAATGATGTTTAGGAACATGCCAAATTACCAAAGGTTTTTCAAACCCATAAGATGCAAGTAGGTCTTTAAGACCAAATTGGACCCCAATGATGAACATTGAATGTCATAAAGTTCGTTTGCTCACTAAAAGGTACTCACAAAATCATGTATTTATTACCAAGAAACATTCTCACATGTTTCTCGAATTGACTTCCTTAGGATCATAATGGTTCTAGTATTTCATTTGGATTTAGAGATACATCAAATAGAGGTCAAACAATTTTCTTAACTAAGAGTTACACAATGATGTTTACATAACCCACACAAACAATTACATTTATAAGGGTTAAGAACGTCTGATGTGTAAACTCAAGGAATCAATATACGTGTTGAATCAAGCTTCATGTCGATGGTATCTAATGTTCGACTTGGTGATGAACAATAATGACTTAACTAATAACCATGTAGATCGGTGTATATACTTCAACATCAGTGGGAGGGACTTTATCATACTCATACTCTTTGGAGATGACGTTATCTTTCTAAGTAATAACAATGATATGTTGCATAAATCGAAACAATTATTGTCACATCACCTCGATATGAAGGATCTCGGTGAATCCTAATATGCAATAGGCATATAAATACATCGAGGAATCCAAAGGGCTTTATACATGCCCCTAAATACACATATTGAGTGTGTAGTAAGCCGATATAAAATACAAAAATACTTCCCTTCAGTTCCTTCCACATTTAAGGTACACATTTTCAGTGGCATGCTTAGCCGTTGTCATTAAATCAAGGTCTAAATCACTATGAAGCTGCCAATAAAATTTTATAATATTTTTATGGGACTAATAATGGAAAACTTGTTTTGTGAAATAAGTAATAATATATAAGTGATATGTTTCTTGGCTATGTCTTTACAAAATGCAAAGATAAGTAGTCATTAGTAGGATACATTAGTATACTATTAGTTAACCAATATCATGGGAGAGTCACAAATAAATGTTGATTACTATATAAACTATGATGGAGAAATTTGATTTCATAGATAATGAAACATTCAATGAACTTTTGTTGAGAAACTAAATCACATGACTCATGATCATAAACTTCATTAATAGGCCATTAAAAGAAAATGCTTTGCAATAATGTTGCCTTTATAAGTTTTCCATTAGCAATAATTATAGTGGAATGAGGCTTTACCTCGATAGAAAACATTTGCTCATTTAAGAGCAAGTAGAGGAAATAATAATTGTATCGTACACATTGACACTAATAATATGCTAGCAGATCCGATAATGAAAGGTCTACCACCCAATTATGTGAACATGTCATCTGTATGGGTTTAAATATACACCTATTATAATGTTATTATAGCATAGTGCTTTAATGAAACTTTTAATTTTAATTTTATCTATTCAAGTACTTGATTATTATTCCTTCTTAATATGCAATTTGCCTATATTAAAAACTTGTGCACAATTACTTTCTATATATAAAAATATAATGCATGACCACTTAACTCAAGTTAGTTGGCTTAAATTAATCGTAAGTTTCATATGAAGTACCATAGTATGATCGGGTGGGGTCCCGTATCTAAAATGGATGCGCAAGACTGTACTTTTCTGCTTTTGATACTAATATGAAATATGATGTATTTACCTTGGCCAAATAATAAAACATGTATGCAAATAGTCACTCGGCTAAGTGGGGGAATGTTGAAAAATAACAAATTTGTACATGTTAGGTACATTTATATTGTGTACCATAATGATTGCCATAATGATATATCAGGTCCCTGGACTTAAATATTTGTGTATGATGGATATGACAATTGTCCATAACTTAAGGGACTATACTTGTGTGGTTCCAATCTCTTTTCCATAAGGTGCAAGTGATGAATATATGAACGATCTACAGGAATCGAAGAGTCTTTCAGTTATGCTTATATGACTTATAAAACACCATGATAATTCATTTTATCCATCCATCAGGAAATCATCAAGGCACCATTATGTAAAGGGAATGAATCATCTTTGGCATCATCCTCGTCAAACTTGACATTATCAAGTAAGTATAACTTCTTTATTTCAGTTTTCATCATGTATGTATGACAGTATGAAATTGATTTTGTTTGTGCCTAGAAAATCAATAGTTAAGCCTTGCATTCTTACCATTTTTCTTAGTTAATAGCATGGTAAATTAAGTTCACAACAGGGATTCAAATTGAAGCCCATTTGTCAGGTTCAAGAATTTATATATATATATATATATATATATATATATATATATATATATATATATATATATATATATATATATAACTGAAGATTCTATGCTCCATAATGGTTATGATGGCACAAATTTTGAATAGTTTCAGTACAGGCAATGAACACACAAACCTGCCCTTTTCTGATAGAAAAAGAGAAACAAGAAATTGTTATGCTTTTGAAGAGGATCAACCAGAATCTTCATCAAATGAAGATAGTTTTGACGAAGTGACTATGATCACAGTTTGTTAAGAAGTTTGTAAAAAAGAAACTAAAAGGTTCAGAATGTGTTCTGATTTTTTATTTTAACGACTGATTATGATGATTCAGATCTCAGTTAACCACTGTATAGATTTAGAGTCAAGGCTCCAAAGACTTCACCCAAGAAGATGCCTGGAACAGAAAGTTTTCCAGGATCTTGTAATGTCAAAGTTGAATAATCTTGTGAATCGGAGTCTTTGAATTTAAAATGAGTTCTCAATCTAATGGGCTAGCATCATTGATTGCTTCTGAATCTAGAATCAAAGATGAAGAATGTTTCGAATGTAGAGAGAGTACTCACAATAATATATATATATATATATATATATATATATATATATATATATATATATATATATATATATATATATATGCCAATAACATTCATTGCTTCTGAATCAGGGATCATTTTTATTGATCATGAACTATATACCATTTAATTAGGTTCATCTACAAATGAAGGGGAAGTTTGTGAGATCAATAAAGTTTCACTTAATGATTTGGATGTTACCAAGGAAATGGTGTTGGATAATGAAGAAAACATGGAAAGTTCAAATGTAACTGAATATTCTCAAAATATTTTTTGCTATTTCTCAAAAGCCGGTTCCGACATCAAAGACCCGGCAAAAACCGAAACGCTAGAACCGGTGGTCCCGGTTTTCGTCCAGGTCAGGCCGGTTCAATTCCTTTGTTCATTCCTAATTATATATTTGTATTTTATAAAAATTGTGTATAATATTTATTTTAATTATATATTTTCAGTTTAGGTGATGTAAACATTTTTTTTCGGGGTTTGGTTATAAAGTGACTGTAACACATAATTTGCCTACTACAAGAATTTTTAAAAACATAAATTGGAACTTAATTTAATTTGTAAAGTTTATGAAACAAACAAATTTTTTTCAACAAAATAACAAAGACAACAGTGTAAAATAAATCTTTAAAATAAAATAATTTGTTTATGATATTGTTTTTATTTGTGCTGCCAAACGAGTGGTAATATACAAACTTTCATTTATATCCTTGCAACTCTTAATTATATTGTTGAGTAGATCCCTGAAATCGTATACGTCAAAACAGATAGTTGCGTCATCATTTTGTTGTATTTATTACAGATTGTTCATTGGAGAATCCTTTACCATTGGTTTGTATTGTTTAAATTTCCCTTCAGTTATCCTTGTAAGTGCTCATGGCTGTTATGGACATTTGAGTATTCATTCCCTGGAAAACAATCATAAAGTCATCATATGATCTTAATGATAAAATAAAACATTGGTTTTTGGTGAACATGAAATGTTTTCTTATAGATATGCTGGAACTATATTCGACAACTAAAGTGACAATGCTTCTTATTAAGGTCATTTAGATAGTCAAAAGTGAAAGAAAAGAAGAATCGTTAAAATGAAGTTAACCTGATATGTACCTGAGTTTTTTTTTTATTTTCATATAGATACCAGAAACCACACATGTGCAAACCTAAAAAAGAGAAATAAAATGATAAAAATAAATATTTATATATAGTGAATTCATTTATGATTTTATTTCTAACCCTATTGACATTTTTTTCCACCTATAAAAAATAAATATGTGTAAGAAAAAATGATTTAAATTTCTTTTGTTCTTGCACTATAACCATTAAATTGCTTAGCTTTGTTGGCAATTCTAACACAACATCAATAGCAACACCATGTTCAACCATTTTAAATCCCTATAAATAAACATATCAATCGGTAAAAACTGATTGAAAAAACTTTTTTAACTTCAAAATTAATGGTACATTGTGAAGGTGAAATTGGCAGGACATAACTTATTGAGTGTCAAGGTTCCTATGATTTGTACCAATAATAAATAATTCAAGGTACCTGAGTTTGGATGAAATGTTTTATATTTAAATGCTAATACTTTTGGTATTGAAGTACACATACATATCTGATCTTATTTGTTGTTTTGATAGACTAATTGTAGACCTTATTTGGTTGATACATGTGTGCTCGTGACCTCTTGTGTGCTTGTAACCTCCTGTGAGTTGATTTTGTTTAACACTTCACTTAGTAAATGCATGCTACATCCAATTTTTACAATACACGATCCATGAATATGTACAAAAGTTACAAAATTAGTACATTGATGTAACATTAACAATCTACAATATAAATACTTATAAAATAATAATACACCTCCAATATGATTCATGGATTTCCAACAATGGACATCAAATTGGCTTTCAACAAA